CTCACACTCGATACAGCGCACTTGATGTTGATGCGGACAATGTTCGCTGAGTTCTGGATCTTGTAAGTCACTAAGAGCAAAGTATCTGCAGTGATCAGCACATAAGCTTTCTTCTTCACGGCAATGCACTCTATATTCTGTCTTGAGGTAGCGCTTTCCACTTTTAAGTTTATTTTGCACTTCATCGCACCAAGTTCCACTTGCGCCGCAGTTTTTCAAGCCATCTACTATCTTGCGCACACTTTCAAACGCTTCAGCGCCTCCTGCAGCTATGTTATCCAGTCCTTGAAGCGATTTTCTTTGAGAAGCTTCTCTGACTTGTAATATTCTAAACAGCGTCGATCTCGAAAGAGGCTCAAACTGATCTTCGCTGCAATGCTTTAAATACTGCTCTATCATCGTTGACCTCGCAACAATTCTGACAACATTTGGCATAAGTAACTCTTCTCCTGAATCTAGCTTCAGCGTCCTGGTTCCATAAGCCACGTCTTGGTAGAAGTACGGCTGGTTGACAAAAGACAGAAAGTGATCCAACTTCACCAAATCAATTTTCACCCGGTGGCGCAGCGGTTTCTCAACGGACAGTCCAACTCCAACAATTTTGGCGTGCGATCTTGCTCTTTTTATCTGTCGGTCGCTAAGCTTTTCAAATGGTTCGTGTATTTTCTTCAAGTATTGGGCTGGGAAACGAGTAGCATAGATGCTGAGTATCTGGATTTTAAGGCTCCTTGATGGTGCTTGCTGATATGCAGTTACTAGTGCTTTGAGGTCGCTAGACAAACCTACTTCCCTTCTTGATTCTTGAAATGATCGTAACAGCTTATCACTGTCCTTTGGAGCAATGACGTCACAAACAGCACGACATGCTTCGTTCACCTGCTCTATGCAAAGTTCTTTTTCTTTCTTAGTCGCCTCCTCCCACTCGGAGTTAAGTCGGAAAGTCAGGGGCTCCACAGTTTTTCCCGAAAGCGAGGCAATGTTACTGAGTGCCTCATTGTATACTTGAAGAACATCAGATTCGTTTTCAGGGGACTCATCATCGAACGAACTGTCAGAATTCATCGCTTGCCATCGTCCAAGAGACCAGGCAGGATCATTCTTAGTATGACTTTCTGGTACTGGGGTGTAAATGCAACTCTTAATAGAAACAAGTGCTTCTTCTTTGGTTTTTCTATAGAGGGAATTCAACAGACAAATAAGTCAAAAGCAAATTGTATTTTTTTTTTCTTACAGAGAATGAATGTACAGTAAGTATCTAAACAAAAATTAACTGAGCTTTGAGCAGCCAATCTTTTATATTCAAGGACATTTTTACTTTCCTAGAGTTTGTCATACTTCCTCTTCGCGTTCTAAGAGTTGTTTTTATTAAAGGAAGAGTACACAAGAAATCGTCAGAAATCAATACCTTGATAAGTTTGGTTCGGTTTCTTCCATGGTATCTGAGGTATCTTCCGTTTCAGTACTTTTCGTTTCTCTCAGCCAAGGCCATTCAGTCTTAAGTCTGCTAGCATGAAGCTTTCTACAACTGTTACAGATAGCTAAAAAAATGCAGAGAAAGAGTGACAAGGGTTGCCACAGACTCTTCCCTAACAGACAATATTGTGGTTGCTTGTTTTATGCTATTTAATTTCTTTTGCTTACATCAAACACAAAGATGTATGAAACTAGGTCACTAGAAGTAGAGGTTTGTGCTCTTAACCCTCTACATTTTTTAAGTGGTGAAAGGCAGTTGCTGTTAATAAAAACCTAAAACAACCTCGGGAAAGGACGATTAGAGAAGAAGAGAGACCTGGGAACGAGGTTGCAAAACAACTCAAGATTCCGTTACCTTGAAATCCCCCAACCCCTCACCCCGGTTACCGGGAAAGAAGCGTTACTTTGTACTCCAAAACATAAATCGCCTTATCACAACAGCAAACAGAAGGAACATATCAAACTGATAATGTGACTACACGTTGTTTCATCTTCATATTTAGTACCTTTTTCGTCTGCATAAAAGTTA